TTCTCAAAAGGAAAAATTATTAACGAAATATATTCATACTAATTAGTGATATGCATAGATTAAATTGTTTTTATTTAACCTGTTTTAGTTAATCCAAACATAACACATATACTCTGTGTATTACATGTATTTATGCATAAAAATTATCATATAATATCTTTATGCAAACATTCAACATGATCATTATATGGAGTTGTTTGTTTCAAAAGTTTAACTTTCATATATTGATAATGCAAAAAAAATATATTATCAAATCGGAAACTTATAAAAACTGAAATTAGTATCTAAAGAAATTAAATTGCATTGTAATGTGATTGTTGTATTCGATGTATATATAAAAGTTTTAATTTATATTCAAGTGACTAAATTATACTCAACTAAAATAAAAAAGATTAATACAGTAAAAGAGAAGAATAGGATAAATTACTTAAATATACACTTTTATTTTTCATAATTTTAAAAAAGCAAGAATTTGTCAAAAATAAATAAATTTCAGTTCTAAGTCGGTCTTAAATTTAGTATAAGAGCTAAGGATTATTCAAACCATTTAAAAAAATCACCATTCTCTTTCATCACCAATGTATGAGTTCTTCACAACACGTGTCACATGCGAGGATGAAAAGTTAAGGCGTGGACAATTTAATATGGAGGTCCAACCAACATTGAAAATTAAAATTGAGATGATTCTTGTTCTCATACTGGAATGTGTGATCATCTCATATATAGTTTAAGCTATTGGGTAAATTACACTTATATTTATATAATTATATCTTCAATATATCTCTCTCACATGCGAGTTTGATATATTTGTTTTATGGATCAAACACATAAAATTCTTTTTTATAATGAATACTGGTGATATTCTATCTCAACACCTTCACTACCATGTTAAGAAAATGGATATTGAGTCTTAGCTAAATAAACTAATTTAAGAGGTGAAAATCATCCTAGAGCTGTTAAAATCGAACTGAAACCGATAAAAAAGTTATTGGTTTATAGTATTGGGTTATTGGTTTAGTGATTTTGATATTTTGATCTTTTTTGTTATTGGATTATCGGTTCTTAACGGTTTAAAGTTTTTTTTAACGGGTTAACCAATAACCCGATAGTAAATTAAATAATTATATTTATATCATTTTGTATATAAAGTCCTCGACTAAGAGTTTGATTTCCTACGTTTATTTTTGTTGTCTCAAACACTTGATTATTCTACAATGTTAAAGTGTTTGCTTTTGAGCAAGATGTAACTTGTGAACTCAAGTGCATGGTTTATTTGGTTTGTGACCTTGTTTCTATGTGATTTTTAATGTTTATTCTTTTGTGTCAAATCTTAACGGTTAAACCGATAACCGAACCGATAATAATCAAAAACCGATAAGCTAATATCTTAATGGTTTTATAACGGTTTAACATCTCTACAAATCGATAACCAATAAACCAACCCGATAAACTTTAAAACCGAACCGAACCGACCGATACACAGCCCTACATCCAAGTCATATAAAGAGATGATTGATATACTTTACCATCGATACAAGATTTCTTCACATGATAATACAAATGAGGCAGGGCAAGATACGTCAATATGATCATATAAAAATGAGTTAACTTAAAATAGGGCACGGCGAGAAAGACAGTGTCAAACAACATATCAACAAATAACAAGTGCGGATATAACAGTTTCTTCTGAATCCAATATTTTTAACATCAAATACATATACAGAGTCACAATTATATTTTTAAAATATAAGAAATTTGGTATTAGAAATCAAATCATCACAAGGAGAAGAATTATTCACCTAACTCGGATTATATTAAATTAGATATAGAGCCTAAATTATACAATCAAAAGCTAATTCAAAAAAATAATAATTGTTCAAGTCTTAAAAAAGAACATTCGTTAACCATTGATACGAGACTTAGTTCATTTTTCAAAATACTCATTCATTTGCTTGGTCAAAAAAGGGCAAAACTAGATAAGACATAACTTTAGACTACACAATTATTTATCAACTTTTCATCTCTTTCCAGCTGGTTTTTAGCCATCATGTTCTTTCATCTATGCCACTTTTATTTTTCAATGTCCCCATGATCACCACTTTCCTTAGGTTTTAATTTTAAGAATTACCAACTCATACATACTAATTGCCACTACATAGTTTACTGTAGTAGAATATTATACTAATTTAAAATAGCTTTTGATAAAAATTTAAATCACACACTATAAAAGCAATTATTATAATAAATAGTCAAATATACAAAACATATATACGAATGATATACAAAAACAAAAATATTTATTGTTTTAATAAAGCTATACAATGTTAAAATCTCAATCCTTTTATGTAAGAAATTAAACAAGTAATATTTGAATTTTTTAAAATTACATATTCTCAAGTATGAAATTACAATACAAATTTAACAAAGTATATAGATAAAATTAGAGTTATGTTATAAGTTACACATTCACGTGAAGATAATAACTTTTACTTAAATATTATATAACTAAAATAACGAAAAAGAAAAAAAAACAACAAAAAATAATAGGATATTTATATTTTCTACCCACTGAAAAAGACTACATAACAATATAATGTAGTCACTATATTCTAGTGGATGAAAACGACTACATAACAATCTAGTCACACTATTATCCAATAGTAGCAACAACCACAAGAATAAAATATTTGTCATTCTCACTCTTATATATATATATATATATATATATGACAAAAGATAATCGTATTTAGATTCAATAAAATCTGAATTTATATTTAATAAATTTATATTAAGAGATCAAACGTTCTTTATTAAAAATAATGTCATACTCGAAATTTGTATCGGAGATTTCTGATAAAAAATGAAAGATGAAAAATAATCTCAAAATTCTAGAACGTAATTTGTTTTTCGACATTTTCTTTTATTTACTACTTGGAGTTTTTGACAAGGTAAAGCAAATGCTATTCCTTTCCCTTTGAAGAAGGGATACCTTTTTCTTTTGTTGGTTGTTGTTGAACATTCCGCCCTAGTTATTATTCTAAAATGAAATGTGATTAAAATCTATTTCAATTAAAATAGCAAAATTTAATAAATTAACTTACCATAACTAAAAGTAAATAAAAAATTGAAGAAAGTACAAAATGAAAAAGTATATTCGTCTAGTTCACAAATGTGATTTGAAAAAAATGATGTGTATACAAATTTTATTCTTATCATATATGTGTAAAGAAATTGTTTTGAATAGATATTTGACACAAATATATGTTCTTTGTCTATTTTTATTTGTTTAATATTTATTCTGACACACTCAGAGCATACAAACACAAACGTTGTCATTTTAACATATTAAGAATTATTATTTTTAATTTTATCCGATTACTTATTTATTAAATTATATTTTTTAAATAAAATATTATATATTAATTAATATGAATATTATAATATTCATTTAATTACTATTTTCTATTTAAAATATGACAAATCCAAAATGAATCTAGTAAAAATCAAAGAAAGAAATTGCTTGTCGTTATTTCTCCATTTTATTTATATTTATGACAATCAAGTTGGATCTTAAACGCACTTTGATTATTTCATTCAATAATTGTTTCTCCAAACCATACAAATACCAATTAGTATGTCTACCAAAATTGGAACATAAGAAAAATAGATTGGAACATAACGAAAAGGTGTACCTTCTTAGTTTAATATTACTATCTTCGTCCTTTTTTAATTATTACAAATTTTTTTTGAAGTTAAATAATAATAATTTTGACTAATATTTTATTACATATTTTTTATCATATTGGTATGTAAAAGATAGAAATTTATAGTATTTTCCCTATAATATTTGAAAATCTAAATTATACATCTAAAATATTAAATTAGTGTAATCTAATTTAACTTTAAACATTAGTCAAGTTGACTTTTAAAAAATGCAACATGACAAATAAAAGTGAACGATAGAAGTTCATGTTACTCCCACTAATTTACTATTAAGTAAATTAAGGTTGGATATTTTTCAATTTATCATTTTTTAAGTATATTAATTTGAATTATTAATTATCAGCTATTAATCATTATCTGTTTGGTTATTAATTTAACTATTAAGATTTTAAAAAAATTAAATCGAAAATCATTTAGAAATATAGTGTCAAATCAATAAATTATATACATGAATTGATGGATTGTATCAAAAGCAACAATGATACATTGTAGTCAAAAGTTTGATAGTGCCAGAAATAAAAATATAAAACTACATCTTACGCCAAAAACCTTATATATTGAATGATATAAATATAATTTACTAATTTACTAATCAAATTATCAATCAGCCTATTACGAAAAAAGTTCAATCTTTAAGAACTGATAATCTAATAGTTCAAAAAAATCAAAATATGGCTAGACTAATTACCAATTATCCATAAACCGATGATTTCTTTCATTATATTTCGATTTAGTTTTGAGCAAGTTGAAGTAAAATATTTTTAAAAATCTACATAATTATTACATATAAAAATTATAATAAAATTTATGGAGAATAAAATGAAATAACTGATATTCTAATCAACTCAAAATACACCCTTTACTTACTATGTACTAGCGATAGTACTATCTACTCTGTTTGGTCTATAATATTTAATTATTATTGATTTTAAGCATTTCTTAATTAATATATAAATAGGAGATAATTTTTCTATTTTTATATAAAATATAATGTCTAATTAATCATAATAATAAATTAAAAATTAAATATAAAATTTATTCATTAATTTTATAAAATAAATAAATATTATTATATATTTTAAAATAATATAATAAACAATTATTATTTAATGGAGAGAGTAATTCTTTTATAATTCAATATAAACGAAGTATAGACATCCTAATTATGAATGTGTCATAATATATGGAGTTATAAAACTTTTAAAATTCATGATCATATTTTTATTACATCGACATGATAATATATATATTTTTAGTTTGAAAAGATATACTGCAAATTAAACGAAGAATACAAATAAAATATGATTGAAAAACTTTTATTAATTCTCTAAATCACGTCAATTAGCATTAGTACAATATTCCCAATTTTTAATTATTCCGGTATACTCACAAGCATTGGTCGCCAAACCCTTTTGAGCAATCGTTGCCGGAATGTCGCCGACAACGGCCGCATCGATCGGACTCCGATTCCTCTTACCGCCGATCCAATACCACCACCGCCGACACAATCGATTTCCGGCCAAATTTCCCCTCTCTTTTCCGGCGATGGAGGAGACGAAACGAACAAATCCTTAAGCTTATGGCTTCCTACCAGTTTCTTTACTTGATCCGGCGAATCTCCATCGCCGGAAATCCGATCCGGTGAAGCATCGTCTCCGGACGACACCGAGTTCCCACTTCCGCCTCCGCTGAGGAGCATACGGAGAGTTTTCCGGCGACGGAGGTGAATAACTGGGCTAGTTGTTGGGCTTCGAGTCGGACTCCCCGCTACCACACATTGTGTAGCTAATAATTTGAATTTCTGCAGAGTCGCCATTGAAATTGAACGGAAGTAAAAACTATGGATATAAATTTAAGAGTATATAAGACTATTCAATGGAATATTTTATTTTTAAATCTCTCGATATTCAAAAAATTTCATATATATATTGAGTTTTTTGTAAAATTATTTGAGTCTTAATAAAAATGACTTGGAAAAATCGAATCGATTGATTGTAGGAGCGAAAATAGAAAGAATGTAGGTTAAGAAAAGTAGAAAATATGGAGATGGAAAGTGAGATGTAAACTTTATTGGGTAGGGGGCGGCCATGGATTCTGTGTTTCGTCTAAAAATGATGTAGTAGTACGTAGTTAAAAACAGTGTTATAAATGAGTGACCATTAAGGTTGAATAGGCCATTCTTTAGACAATAGAGGGGCCGGAGTGGAATTAAATATATTTTTTGACAATATGTATAGTAAAAGGAAATTTTAGTTACGATTCACAGATACAAGCAAGGTGAATGAGATTGGAAGAGAATGAGAGAGGCGAGCTAGAGAGACAAATTGTAAAGCTAGCGAGCTAAATTGTGAGAGGGAAAGAGGCGAGCGAGAGTGAGATAGGAAAAAAAGAGACTAATTGTATTTGTATATCTGTCATATAATTGTAAATGTATATTAGAGCTGTCAATATGGGGTAGGCATGTTGGGTCGGCTTGGCCCAATCCAAAATTTAATAGGGCTGAGCTAAGATATTTGAGCTCATTTAAGAAAATGAATTTTTAGACCGGTCTAAATAAGCCTGCTGATTTGCGGGGCTTGAGAAATATCGGTAGGACTAACCCGTGGACCAATAAAAATTAATTAAAAATATTATATGATATTAAAATTCAAAATTAAAGATATTCCAAATTCAAAATAATTAGGTTAATATTTCTATTTAGATATTTCTAATTTTACTTGAAAAAAAACTTAATAAATATTATAAAAATAATTTTATTTATGAATTTGATTAACAAGTAGTAACATTAACATTATGTGATATTATTTTTAACAACAATTGTAATCATATTTTTAAATTATAATTTAATTTTATAATTGTTAAAAAAATATAGTTTTTTTTTTTAAAAAAGTGGGTTGCCCGACAAGTCTGTAACCCACGTACTTGTGGGTTGGGCCGCTCATTTTCTGGCCAACATGAAAAATAGGTTAGACCGACCTGACTAGTAAAATATCAAAACTGTATTAGTTAGCGCGGATCTTTGTCTTAATGATTTTGATTAGTGATATGTGTATGAAATGTTTATGAAAATCGATGTGTATCATTTTGAGATATGTGTGGTTAATGTGCTCGGATATTGTATATGTCACATATAAGAAGGGCATGGTGTATAGTTATTATGATTATGAAATGTGTATCGATTTCATATACCTTATTTTCGATATATTTATTTTTGAAATATTAAGGACATGTAATTGTGGAAGAATAGGATATAATGTTTGCATACGTGAAAAAAAATAATTAAAGAGATAATTAACCTTTTATTCCTTATTCTGATATTTGGAAAAAATGTTCAAATGTCTTCTTGGATTTACAATTGAATCTTTTGAAAATATAGCATGACAATTATATTGAATCTTTTCAAATCCAAGACTTTTAATTAACTCAATTTAATTTAGTATAAATTTAAGAAATCCCATAGTGTAATTCAATAATTACATTCTGTCCCGACAAGTTTACTAATTACAAAAAATCCCTTAAATTTATTGAGCCGTGATACTTTAGACTGTAGTGATACATGGTAAATGATACATGGTAATTTAAAACTGTTAAGAAAAAATAGGGGAGAAAAACGGTAAAGTTAATGTTGTTACTAAAACAGCTTAATTTGTGGTAACAGATCATTAATCAGCATTAAATCAGCACTTAATTGGATATTAATTTCAAAATTTGAAAATCAAATATTATATCATCTATTTTGAATATGCTATTCAATTTTACCTAAATATCAAAGATTATATCATCTGGACGACCAAGAAAAAGAAGAAGAAAGAATGCAGATGAAAAGATTTCGGTGAACACAAACTGTTGTGGACAATGTGGACAAGAAGGGCACAACAGAAGAACTTGTACTTTCTACCCAAAAGAGAAGTGAATTAGTCGTAATGTTTCTATGATATCAAGAATAATTTATAACGTAAACATTTTAATGAATTTCAGTTTTCATTACAACTGCAAATTGAACACTTTGTGTTTAGATAAATAAACTTACAAACATGTGGTAATTAAATTTGAAGTCGTACTTTTGATTATAAATACTTTGTTATTATTGGTGTTGATAAATATACTTGTGTCAATATTTGTTTTAAATATAAAATTTTATAAATCTTATGCTACAGCAAGATATATAAATTTAAGAATTATTAGGTAACATAATGTACATGATACATATGGTTTATCCAGTGTATCATGTACTTTTATTGTGTGTTTTTGGTACACATTGTTTATCTAATGTATCATGTACTTTTTAGTGTGTATCATTGATTTGCACAATGATACATCTCCATTAGATAAAAAATACAAAAATATTATTGAGGTTGTTGTGTACTTTACAATGACTATAAATCATGTATCATGTGAATTTATACAATTTAACTTGTGTAATGCTTTTTTTGTTATGCTTTTCTTGAAATATACAGTAAATAACTTTACTTTTAAAAAATAATACCAATTCATATGAATATGCTATTCAATATCATGTAAAATTTAAGGATTATAGGGTAACATATTGTACATGATACATACGGTTTAGCCAATGTATCAGTTATTTTTAGTGTGTGTTTGGTATATATATATATCATTTGGTTTTGCCAAAATACTAACCCGATACAATGTAGGCCTAACAACAATGTTTGCTGCTTCTTTTTTCCTTTTTTGTTGTATTTTAACAACCTTTGATTTTGATGTTTCGCGAGAATCTTTCTTTCCAATTTTCATCGTCGGAATCATATATCCTTCTATTAATTAACGGGTCCATTACTATGATGTAATAGAACAATTAACAAAAACAAAAAAGAGAAGAATATACGAATGATGATGGATTAATAATAAAAAGATGTTGGGTTCAAACTATTACAGATTAGGAAGAAATAGACGATGATGGATTAAGAATAAAAAGAAGAAAAGAAAAAAATGTAATGGGTTAAGATGAATGAAGATGATTAAGGAAAAAAAGAACTGAAACTTGATGGAGTAAGAAGAAGACGGTAGAAGTTAATGGAAGTTGTCAATTTTTTGAATTTTGAAATTCAAAATTTCAAAATTTGGTCTTTTAATTAAAATTAATTAAATTTAAAAATTCAAAATCAAAAAGCTGGTTAAAAGGTTGAGTGTTTAAATGGATAAAATTTAAAATTAAAAAACTGATTTAAGAGGTTGAGTGTTTTAATGGAGAAAAAATAGGCATTAAAATGGGTAAATGTGTATTATAAGAGAGAGAATGTAATGTATCTAAAAACTTACACTAAAATAAAAAAAGGGAATTATGTAATATTTAAAAAAAAGTAGGAAAAATTGGAGAATATAAAAATTATAGTTGTGTATTTAAGTTATTTTTCCTTTAATTTATCATCCATGGCTGAATTTATAAGAGTGTTAATATTAATATATGAGATATACAATATTCATACATATTCAAAATTAATTACATAATTAGGACTGAAAATCAGTCAAAAACTAGCTCAAATTAATCAAAGAGCTTTTTAATTGGTTTTTGTTAAATTTGAATGATAAAATTTTGGATAAATTAAAGGGCAACTTTCACATATAGCAAACAAAAAATCATATTTGTATGTTATATTAAAATTTTGCATTGCGCTCCTTAGCAAATCTATAAATGTATAATTCGCTATACATATACAATTGTATGATTCTCTGACCTATTTCACTATAATTGTATAATTTGCTGGCCTGTTACGCTGCAATATCTGTATAAAAATTTGCATTTGAAGTAAAATGTTTGTATATTGTATAATCATAAGTATATAGGAAGAAGATATATGTTTTTGCATGTGTAAATACAATTTTCTCTCGCTTTATACAAAACAGAAACACAACTTATACACTTCTGTTGTATAAAGCAAAAGAAAATTATATTTCGCTGCAATTGTATAATTCGCTGGCTATTTCGCTGCAATATCTGTACAAAATTTGCATTTGTATACATTTGAATCGAAGTAAAATGTTTGTATATTGTATAATTAGGTGTATAGCATGAAGATATATGTTTTTGCATGAGTATATACAATTTTCTCTCGCTTTATACAAATTCTATGCTTAGACTGTATATATCTCTACTTTATGTCATTATCCTTTTAAGTCTGTGTTAGTAAATGTTAGATTTGGTGTATATTTGACATAGGTTAATCGAGATGACGAGTGGTCATTTGGGTTCTATGAACAAGGTACTGGAGTTTTTAGCTGTCCTGCTGGGAAAAATCCAATGTATTCGTACCGTGAATGCATTGTACTTGGAAACACAAATCACTTTATTTTCAAAGTGAACCAGATATTGAGAGAGCTTAGTAGAGAGTGGCCTGGACACTCATATGAAGTGAGAGAGGCAAGCGACACTGACAAACAGTTTGCTAAGGAACACAAATAACTCAAACTGTTTGCTAAGGAATACAAATAAATCAAACGGTAGCTACTGTATTTATTTTACGTTATTAATTTGTTATTCTATATAATTATCCCTAAATTGAAAGTATTAAAAACACATTTAAATTATCTGTTTATTTTAGTTTCACACGTAATCTATTTGGAGTGTAACAAAAACATTTGAACTGTTACATCTTAAGTAAAATATGTGATGGTGTATGTAGTACGCTCTTTTTCATTAAAAAAAATGGTCAGATGAATTGTCACGTGAAAAACAATTCCGTTGTGGTAACACATAGCTAAACATTTAACAATCTCAACTGAAAAGACAAATCGAAACACTTCACGCATTAATCTAGTCGACATTGAAATGTATTTCTCAAATCAATAATTTTTGCTTCAGACTTAACTCTTTTTATTTTTGGATGAATAAGGAACATGGATATCAGGTTTAATAAATCGTGGATGAATATTCAATTAAGGAAAAATTATTTAACTACACATTATTTAGTATCATATTTTTTTATTTTCCCTACCATTTCAAAACATATTAAATAGCTCTTCTTTTTCTTCCATCATCTCCTTTTCCATGTACATTAATTTGAAATCTCATACCCATAATTTTTCTTCATTTTTTCACGTCATAAATCTCTCCATAATTGCATCGATTGATTTTTTTTATAAATTTTAAATCTTTCCTATATTCAATCAATGATTTCAACTTATTCAAGAGGTAGGTTTCTTTCCATCACTTC